AACGATAAACATGGCGGCGCCGCAATAAGAAACGTCCCGTTACAACATTGGCTTTGATAACGGTTGGAAATATTCCAGATAATGGAAGACATTTCATTGTTTTGTGTGTATGAGAGAACATAACATAAAACTAGCCATAATCTTTTAACCTCATGACCCGTCAGATGAACTCTGAGACCCTTGAGGGGTCTCGATCCACAGCTTTGGACAGTGTAAGGTCATTTGAGGTCCATGTTTTCACTTTGCTTGTCAGTGCTGAGGACAGCAGCTGATGTAGCGCTCTCATTAGCTCGTGTTTGTGCTGATGGTGGTGCTGTTAATATTTATAGGGGGAGTGTGAAGTGGTGTCTGAACAGCCGAGGTGTTAAACGGCCACAGAGGAGACAGAGTCTGCAGGTTTGAGCACCGGCTGAGCTTCAAATCAGCTGCTCTCACTCATGACTCTGCAACTGTTTGATGAAAAGAGGAGAAGCTGACGGCCGGAGGAAGGAAGCCAGAAAGAAGATGATGATCACAGCTGAACACTTTGAACTAATGGAGGATTCAACATTGTTGGATTCATCTTAATATTTCCAAAACTGCAAAATGGTAGAAGCTGCATTTTCTATTTGATGTGGGTAAGATGCACAAACAGCATTAAACCTTAAAGGTTCTGTCGTGCTGCAGATCAGCTCTCGCCTACAAGTCTTCTAAAAATAAACGTAATTTAGCACAAACCTTTCAAAATGTCATAATTACATACATTTACGCAGTGATGAGAAACATATTGTGCTGTATGTTTGCTGCAGCAAAATCTGTCAAATCAGTTCCAGTTTATCATAATGCAACGCTCGTGGCTGCACACAAGACGATTTTCAAATCCTAACCGAGACCACAGACATCCAATCCTCTGAACGCACACACCGCATGATTTAACCAGACTGTGAGCTCACACACCTGCTGTGTTTGTAATAAGATCTCACAAGAACTTACCTCATCTCAAACGTGACTTCAGGAGAAAAACAAACATGGAGGACGATCAACGTCTTCAGCTGGCTGTTTTGCAGAAAAACAAAAAAACAAAAAACGAGTGTTCCTGTAAAGAGCAGAGAGAAGAGTCAGTATTAACTCCTTCAATCACACACATTCACACACCGCCGACAAAGCAGCAGGAGCAACTTGGGATTAAGTCTTTCCCAAGAACACATCAGACATGTAGCTGCAGGAGCTGGGGATCGAACCCCCGACCTTCCAGTTCAGACACGACTGACTTTACAACTGAGCCACAGCTCAAGACAACCAAGAAACTGAAGTGAAAAGTAGAGGTGCAATCAAACAAAGAGGAAACTGAAACAAATAAACAAAGTGTGGGCGAGGACAGAACCTGACTAAACTATTCACTGAGAGAAGAGAAACACAAACAGAAGGTCTGATTCTCAAATGTAAAAAAGTAAAGCGGTAGTGTGTGTCGAACATAGATTGATTAGATCAGCTAACAGGTGTAGGGGAGACCCCGACTAACCTTAGTCCAGCCTCACACCACGCCTCTCTCTTTTCTAACAGGCCGCATGAGGCGTCTCCCTGGAGATACTCTCCTACACCCAGAGTCCGCTGGAAGAATAACTTATCCTCCTGTTAACGCCTCGGGGTCCCCTGACCTCGGAGAAGAGGAAGACAATGGATGAAAGGATGGAGACTTTAAAACCCAACACACTGAATGGATTCATGTGATCAGAGGAGCACTGTCTGTGAATTATTATTATTATAAGAAAAAACAACAACAGATAATAACTAACATATATTTACAGATTACTGCTGAATATCAAGGTATGATATCAGTGGTAGAGGCATGTGAGTGTGTGTGTGTGTGTATGTGTGTGTGTGTGTGTGTGTGTGTGTGTGTGTGTGTTTCACAGAGCAGTGGGGTAAGTGGTTTGGTATATAAACAATGTTAACGGTGAAAGAGGGTTCATGTGTGAGAGAGTCATTGAATATCTACTGATAAAAAGAAAAAGACAAGTGGTCTGACTCAGACGTGTGTGTGTGTGTGTGTGTGTGTGTGTGTGTGTGTCTTGTTGTTGTCAGACATGAGGACGTTCAGCTCTCTTCTTTTCGATGGGATTTATGAATGAAAGAGAAGAGGTACCGATGAAAGAAAGGACAATCACTCAAATCCAGACAAATCATGCAAACCGCACACATAAGTACTTCACGACCTTTCATTCACTCTTCGTTCTTTTCTTCCTCTCGGATCGATTGTTCTGATGTTATGCTCAGTGAATCCACGCCTCATTGTGAATAACTCTTATCCTTCATCAAATCAAAACTGATGAGTCATCAAAACATTCACCCCCCGTACAGTGTGTGTCCATCCAGACATGAGCTAATCACACCTATTTGGTTTTTTGAACCAGGCTGTAAACATGTTCATCTCTGCTGTAAAAACAGGCTTTTTAGAATGGGTGTGTATGTGACTTCCTGTGCTTCTGCAGCCAGCCTCTACTGGACACTCCAGGAACTGCAGGATTTCTGTAAAGTCTGTAAATCTTGCACTGGCAAATTAGCAAAAAAGTGACAGAGCATTGTCAGTTTTTAAATAAATATAAATCAGAAAAACAAATATTTACTTCTAAATATTAAAGTGTGTGATTGACATTGAAGTGAGGCTGGTGTTTGGAAGAGTAGAAGAAGTACGACTCAGGTTGAAGATAAAATGTGTTTTTATTTAAAGATCTCTATCAGGCACTATAGTCGTGGTTTTCTTTAGAACACGGGCGAAGCGGCTACCTGGGTCACATGATACACAGGTGAGAGGACGACAGGATATCTGTAGACAACATGGCGCAGAGTACAAACACAGCAGAGAAATCAACATGACATTTCTAACATATCAATACAGTAAAAAAGACTTACAGATACATTTTCCTGCATTTCAGCCACAAGTGTGTGAACATCACAGAGTGGATTATTGGGAAGAGAAAGAGAGAGAAGATGACAGAACCACACCTGTGAGGATATAACACTTTCTATTCTGGTGGTGATGGGTTGATACTCAGCGTTTAGATGCTACTGCAGTTCACAGCTGTGCGTATGGCTTCAGATAAAAAACTCTAACATTGTTGATCTCAGACAGAAAGACGACAACAGCTCATCAAAATACACAAACGCTACAGAGGAGCTACGTTTTCTTTGGAGAGTAACAACGATGATTAAACCCAGAAAAAAACAACAGATGACGTGATGAAACCTCGAAATATTAAAGGAAGAATGTGCGACTTTTTGAATCCAGTAGATGTCGCCCTTGAGCACCAGCATAAAACCAAAACAAACTGCTGTTTGGCCACGCCTCCTCCATACTGAAGCCTCCGCTCTCCTCCAGAGACACACCTCCAACCCCCCTCCACTCACGTTCACATGAAGGAGTTTAGCACGTGGCAGACAAAATTGTCCTTTGCTCGAGCTCCAATCACCTGTGTCCTACATTGTTGTGTTAGAGTGCTAAGGTTAGCACTCTTTAGTTAGCTCGTAGATTCACATTGTTGTGTTAGCATGCTAATGTTAGCGCTCTTTAGTTAGCTCGTAGCTTCACATTAGCTGTGTCCTGCATTGTTGTGTTAGCATGCTAATGTTAGCGCTCTTTAGTTAGCTCGTAGCTTCACATTGTTGTGTTAGCATGCTAATGTTAGCGCTCTTTAGTTAGCTCGTAGCTTCACATTGTTGTGTTAGCATGCTAATGTTAGCGCTCTTTAGTTAGCTGGTAGCTTCACATTTCATGTAAACTGACACAGAATGATCGTGATCTAAAAACTCTTACTAACATCCAAATAATCAGTGAGTATGTTCTTCTTCTTCTCTCTAGTTCTTGACTAAAACAGCTTTTATACACAAGGGGAGGAGCCGGCCGTCCCGTCCATGTAAACACGGCTCTGACAACAACACAGCCAGCGGGACTCGAGCTTCTCCCTCATTGTAGACAGTCAGGACTCAGAGACACATTTACACAGGACAGACTGGATCTATGATTTATGTGGAACATGTCGCACATTCTTCCTGATTCAAACAGACAAGAATGAACAGCAGAAAAACAGAGCAAGGTTTTTATGATTTGTAGATAATAAACCTGAAGCTGTGAGTCATATTAAAACAACACTCAAGAACAAGAAATGACGGGCAAATGGAGGAAAAATGCTATGAAAGATAGCAGTTTAAAAAGAGGATGCTATATTTACTTTAATTTGACAAATCAAAGCTACATCATGAAGCTACATCTTTAAATCCTGCTCTCGTCTCCCGACATTCATGAAGTCAATAAACTCATTTAAACTGTAAAGTGTTACTCAGACGCAATCATTTCACATCTCTGAGTAATATCTCAACAGGGGAAATACAGACTGTTAAAGGTCAAATTTAGCAAAACCATTTAGTGCCTGAGGCCACGTGTCTTGCCCGGAGAAAATGCGTCTTTCGAGCGCTTCGATTTGAAAATCTGTTAATTTTTCAGAAAGGAGTTGTTGACGATCTTATCGAAATACAAATATAAGATATTCCCCGTATTTTTGTCTCGTACAGATTGTGTCTCACGTGTGTTATACCAATGTTCCTCTAACTCTAACATGTGTCTCTAGTCCGTCTCCAAACCCCCCAATGATGAGAAAAGTCCATCCTCTCCGTCTTCTGCCTGCTCCACTTTTCAGAAAATATGTGCTCAAACAGGCCGTTTGGAGATTTTCCCTTCATGACATCACAAAGGGCAGTAGCCCCTCCCCCAAGTGGGTGACACTCCCACAGCTAGGTGTTTGTTCTGCCCTCTGAGTCTGCCTTCTCACCGTAAACAATAGGACATGGAGCGAGAAAGACCAGAGACACCCAAGTCCTTCCAGAGAGGGGGCGTGGTCAGACACAGCTCATTTACATATTTAAAGTTACAGACACAGAAACAGCCTGTTCTGAGCAGGGCTGAAATAGAGGGGTTTATAGACATGATCAAATACAGGATCAGAGTGGATTTAGAACAAGAGACTTCACACACATGTTTTGAGGAGCTCTGAGACTTATTTACACTGAAGAGGAGGAGGATATGTGACCTTTAAAGACGTTTTGCAGTAACTCTATATGTCACGCAGTTAAAAACAAAGAAATTGAGTTTCTGCACATGATGTTTTTTAAACATTGATTGTTTCATCCAAACCGTGCTAATCATAACAGATAAAGAAAGAAAATCTGTCTCCTACTCGAGTATGACGCCCCCTCAAAACAAACATCAACACTATAAATCTGAGTCTCACAAATATTCAAACGCACACGTTCCAACGAGGAGCTGCACAAACAAAACGTGCTACAGCAGCGAACGGCAACTTTCAAGACTAACACAGAAAACCCCGGAGTTAGACACAAACAGCTGAACCTGAGGAGGAAAAGATGAACAGTCAGATCACAGAGAAGAGGAGCAGCTCACGCTCAAGTTTGGCTCTTTTTTCGCTTTTCATTTGGCAGCGACATCACTCGGCCCTCGCGGCTGTTGCTAGGCAACGTGTAGGTAATTTTTAGACCGTTGGAAATGACGATGCGGTAAGAACTTGGAGACACTTGAAGATCAAAAAACCAAACTGTGATCCAAGATGAATCATGTTGTGGTGATTTTGTTAACACGGCTGCATGGAAGGAGAAAAGTCATTTAGTCTTTACGAGTTTTGTTGGTATTTAAAAACTGGAATCACACTTTTTTCTTTTAAGTGTTGCCTCAGAACTCTAAAAATAATCCTTTAAACGTCAGGAGAAAAAAAGAACGTGCGTAGTTTCTCGATGTGCGGCAGAAAGTCTGAGACTAAAGTTTCATGTGGGCATAAGATCGTTAGATATTATTATTAGTGTTGTAGTAATCGAGAAAGACCGGTCTAGAGACCACTTTTTGAAAGTCTTGGCCTCGTCTCGGAATCGAAAGCATTTTTACCCGGTATTGTGTCGGTCTCAGACTGGACGGACTCCGGATTATCGGCCTTTTGCAGTTTCTGTGATATTTATGGTTTTGGTCTTGTTTCGGTCTCGCCCTGCCTTGGTCTTGTCTTGGTCTCGGAGAACTCTGGTCTCGGGTATGTCTTGGTCTGGGTTAGTTAAGTCTTGACTACAACATTACTCTCGTGCACCAAAACATTTCCAATGTGCAGCAGCAGATAGTTTTACAAGTGAAGGATTGTTGATGTGACTTTCTGTAGAAAGCAGATTTTCAACTAGACGGTAGCTGGAGAACAAATGGGGTCAAAAGAGAACCCTACTTTATTCACATGGACTAGATTTTGTCCTCATTAGTGCTGAAGGCGACGTTTGAAAGGCCTCTGGGCCTCAGTGATGTGTTGTTTTTATCTCAGAGCTGTCATCTGCCTCGTCCCCTGAGTTTACTCAGTTTGTCTGTTTTTACACCCAGAGACCAGGACGGATTCCTCCGACTGCACAGTTTCATTATTGGTCTAACTGTGATAAAAGACTTCCTCGGTCTCTAGCCCCATTTCCACCATGCGGTCCGGTTTGGTTCAGTACAGATTGGTACGGTTTGGTATGGTAGACCCTGATCTCATTTGGGTTAGGGGTTAGGCCCTGAATGTTGGGTCTCTGTAAATAATATTTGAAAGGATTCAGTCTAGAGCTACGTATGTAAGATGACTTTTTTTTCACGGTTTATTTTTGGGCCTGCTTTGCCTCCATTTCAGAGATAGGACGGTGAATAGAGTCAAAAATCAGAGGGAGAGAGCGAGTGGAGAGCCACAGATCGGAGTCAAACCCAGCCTCCAGTTTGCACTCTGAACCCGTTTTCAAAATGTACCAAAGCCCCCACAAAGCCACATGAGGTTACTGATTATAAGGCTGAAATCGCCGTCGTGTAAACGTGGCCTTAATAAGGTTTCGGGTTGGCTATGATGTTATTCGACGTGACGTTTGAAGTCATGAAACCGGCTTGGTAAAAGTGGTTGGATTTCTGGGAGTTTCTCGCTGTTTAAGATGTTTTTATTTTCACAATAAGACAGCTGTGGAGTGATCTGTGATAAGTTTCAGAGTGCTTGTTACAGTCTAACCTCCGTCATTAGGTCTGCAAACACCTCAAAGAGCTCCAGGTCATTAAAGCGGGAGACGGTGTGGACCCGCAGAAGCAACAGGAGCCACTAATGGGCCTCTGATGACTCCACCGTCTATTTCAATACATCAATAAATAATAAGTCAGCTCAATTATTCATTATATATACTTTCCTCCAATTAAAGAAATCCTCGCTGGCTGTTTTTATCTCCATTCCCCTCGCTCCTCATTTCTTCTTTCCATGCTGCGGTTTTTAAATTAACTCGTTTTTCTTATTAATAACACTTTCAATCTTCAGCAGGCCGTCTCCTCTGTGCACGACTTCAGAGGGAGATCTGCAGTTCATTCAACACAGGAAGCCGGGCGAGCAGACGGCGCTCCCCCTGACCTTCAGCGAGGTGATCTGTCACTACTACCACCTGACGCCGCCTGACGCCAAAACACCACCATTGGACTGTGACGACCCCACAACCACCGCCGGCCTCGTTGGTGCACGGCCTGCTCCGACCTCCAGACACGAGGAGTCACAGATAGACGCCCGCTGTGTTCAAAGTTGTGATTTTGAACTGTTTAAGGTCCATTTTTTGCGGCGGATCATTTTGAGTTCTGATACTTCTGATTTGATTGTGAGACGTTGAAAGGAAGGACCTGAATCTTAACGCTGAGATGATCTATGAACAAAGACGCTTTGAAGAACATGACGTATGTGGAAGAAACAAACATGACACGATATCTAAAGTGTCTTTCTTATGTAAACAAGTGCTCTGCTGTCGGGCTCTTTTAGTGATTGCACTGAGAAGCAGACGCCTGAAGACATTTCTGCACTTTGGCTCTGAGTTCATTAACAGTTATGGCTACTGGGCCTCCAAGGAGAACTACATGAAGGAGGAGCTACAGTTAAGAGAGAAGGTCGTTCTTTTGGGTTTGATCCATTCGACTGTCCGTCACAGAAACCGATCGTCTGAGAGTCGAGGTTAATCCAGATGAGTTACATCAGAGGAAAAGTTTCTCTACAGACAACAGTTTGGATTCCCCTCCTCCTGTTTGAATGTTTCTGCTCGTACAAACCAGACTGTCAGTCACTTGACTCCGCCCATTTTCCGCTTCCTAAAAGATCGACTTTACGTTTGCGTCTTAATGTTCTCGATCCCGGCGTCTCACCGGCACCGCAAACAGCGGCAGGGTCCTTGTTGGCGACGACAGCTCCGGCTCGGGCTCAGAGTTCGTGGTCAGGAGGTCGTCGACCTTGTCGGCGAGGCGCTCTGAGGGCAGCGACAGGTCCTGACACACCTCGTACGAGCACTTCCTCTTCTGGAGGGCCTCGGCTCGGACGGCCAGAGAGCGCGCGCACACCGTCAGGAGCACGATGAGCGTGCCCAGGAGGAGCGACACCATTGGCCAGAGGACGCAGTGGAGCAGGACGCTGGTGTCGTGGGAACGCCGCCACAGAACGTCGTCTGGCCTGAAATCACAAGAAGAAAAAAAGTCAACAAGCAGTGGAAAAAATGACAAATCTCTGCCCTCGATGTTGTTTCTGAATAACTCTGATTATAAAACATGGTCAGATGAAAGACAACATTCAGCTTCAGGTTAACACGCCATCACACCTTAAAGTGACTAACAGCGTTTTCTCTCCATAAAAAAAACCTCCTGAGTGCTCCAGTTCTTTTTCTGCAGAGCACAAAAGCTTATCCGTCACATCGACGAGCTCCTGCCGGGCTCTCATTTACCGAGCAGTTTTCCTCGTTCTGATCGCTCAGCTGCTGAGATAAAAATAAAAACCCGCCAAGGTCACAGGTAAGCATCGTCTGAGAAGAACACGAGGATTAAGCTGAAGGAGATCGCTGCTTTTTTCTCTGTCTCATGAATTTTCAGTCACAGCATGAATTTATTAAAAGCTGTGTTTCCCAACAGACCTTCATGACCTGAGGAAACGAGGAGAGCTGCTTTTTAATCTTCAGGGAAACACAGCCGAGTCTCTTCATACTTTATATGTCACAGTCTTTATTCAGAGTTCATTTGTGTATAAATCTCATTTCCTCTGAGCTTCTCTGTGCGAGTGTTGGCAGGTTTAACACGAGGACAGTTACATCCATTATAATCCTCTGAACGCACACTCTACCATTCAACCGGGAGACCACACGCCTGACTCCAGACCCCTTTTCACCTGGCCTTTTCTTCTGTGCACCAGCTCGCAGAAAAGAGCAGCACCTAGCGTCTTTTTTAACGAGCACTTCTTTTTGTGCGGCGGCTCAACGTCACCGACGCTCTTTTCCAAATATAAGATATCTTCATATTTTTGCCTCCTATGGATCATGTTTTATAGCCGAGCAGCAACCTCATCTTGAAACATGAAACTGATGTTGAAGTGTAAAATCCTGCAGTTCCTGGAGTGTCCACTAGAGGCTGGCTGCAGAAGCACAGGAAGTCACATACACACCCATTCTAAAAAGCCTGTTTTTACTCTGCTTTGGTCAGAAGACAGGGTCCCACTGAAACATGATATTATCTCAAGGAAAAAACAGATCATCTTACTTCCTGGAGTGTGATCTTTGAAACATCTCTCTGCTGTAAACAATATTTACAGCAGAGTTACGTCCATCATGAAATGGCTGAAATGAAGCTTGCGGTTGCAGAAAGTAAACCGAGAACTGGAAAAGGTTTTGTCAAATCTTCTCTGGTAACAACAACGTGTCACCGAGGAAAGTTTCACAGCATCACACATCTCCTGCTTCCATTTTTATCTGTATCACACCTGAGAATACACCTGTGTGTGTGTGTGTGTGTGTGTGTGTGTGTGTGTGTGTGTGTGTGTGTGCGCGTGTCTCACCTCCTCTGCTGGTTGAAGAAGCAGGTGAAAGACTGACTGCTGACCTCTTTGGTGAAGTAATCCTCCCACCACAGGACGCTGTCTTTGTTCTTCTGGTTGTCTCTCTCACAGGGAGGAACGTAGGAACACTGAGGGACACAGAACACATCCATACACTGACGTCAGCTGCAGGCTCTGCAGTGGGAAAGAGACATGTTGCTAACAGTATGCTAACGTTAGCATGCAGTATAAACTGTTTGAGTGCGTCAGCATGTGGACTCTTCAGCTGCTGTCTCTTTCTTTTTATCGTCTAGACTTGTCATTGCTCATTGTGTTAAGGTGATAAACAGTTTAGGGTGCAATCACCACAACCCCCCCTTCCCCCCCCCCCGTCTGCGTACCAATCACATCATCATCATCATCATCATAGCAACCGGTTGATGCACTGTCAGCAACCAGGCACCAATCAGCCTCCTGCAACGACAAACCATGTGTGTGTGTTTAGAAGCTGAAACTAAACCAAAGAGGAAGAGCAAAATGAAGACCCCCCCCCCCAACTCCCACCCCCACTGAGCCAATCAGGATCAAACTCCTCACCTTGTTTTGACCTTAATACAGCGCCCCCTACTGGGTGAGAGATGAAACAGATCCTCACTGCCTGTCTAAATCCAACAGATCTGTGACAAATTCAAAATGATGTCACGGTGAAAATAATCGCTTCAGATTAAAGAAGGTAAAGACTGGAGGAAGAAGCTTTCAGATTGATAACTTCAGTAGAATGACTCAGACAAACTGTAACGAGCCCAAAAACTATTTAAAGTCTATTTTCAATGAAGGGGCCTCAAGCATGTGTCAAGATGAAGAACTAGTGCATTACTTTTTGTTGGTTTAAAGGAGCAGTATGTAACTCTGACCCCTAGTGTTTAAAATGGGTACTGCAGTCTAAATTCTAAACATCATAGAGAGCTGTCTCCCCCCCCTCACTCAGGTCACCATGTGGTGGACTCTGAAGCTTCAGTGTTTATCCAGCTCTGCATGGGTCTGTAAACCTTTCTGTGTTCTAACCTCTCTCCATTTTTCAAAAGCATCTCCAATATTGATCCTAGTTTGAGCACGTTTCTGCTCGTGGAGCTTATTAGAAACATGCAGAGGCTTTTTAGGTCGGGTACAATCACTTCTATCTGAACCACTTCTCTTGACCGCTTCCATCGCTGCAACACCTGTTGACCTGATAACTGCTCTCATATCTGACAAACTGAGGGGCGTCCAAAACGGCCGTGTGTGGGGGGGGGGGGGGGGGGTCTTAAGAGCGCCTACCTTCTCTGGTCCAAACAAATCCAGAGCATTCAGGAGCAGAATGTAAAGTTAGAAGGAGGACATACTGGCTGCCCTTTAGGCTCAAACAGTGAGAACAGTTTAAGTCTGCAGTTTGAATCTGTTAGGACAAAAGGTACGGCGTGATATTGTTCAGCCTGTACTTTTCTTCTCCCCGTCGACTTCAGAGGTTGTGGCATGAAAGTACAAAGAGCACCCTAAGGTGTCTCTGCAGAGAATACTGTATCTCACACATCGGGACACTTTCTCTATTTTTCATGATTCCACAGATAAATGTGACACCTTCACACTGATCACACACGATGTTTATAAACGATGTTTTTCTGAGCTCTCGTCTTCACAGGGTTTGTTTTGTTTCTGTCTGATTGAACCTCGTCCAGATTAGTGCAGGTAGGGCGAGCATCTCTCTCTCTCTCTCTCTCGCCCGGCTAAGCATCCATTCATCCCTCAACACTGTTCACCATTCGGCCAATCACACACACCTCGCCCCGTGACATCACAAGTGGGTCGCCCTGATCGCCGGATGATTACGGTTGGTATGCCAACAGGCTGAGGTCACAATTATGTGTGTGTGTGTTTTAGAGCCTCTAATAAATGTCCCACATGAGATCAATGTGGAGTGTGTTGACATGTGGAGTGTGAACACGCTGCTCTCAGAGCAGAGAGACACACACACACACACACACACACACACACACAGACAGACAGACAGACAGGCACGCACGCACGCACGCACGCACGCACGCACGCACGCACGCACGCACGCACGCACGCACGCACGCACGCACGCACGCACGCACGCACACACACACACACACACACACACAGTGAGTGGAAGTGAACCGGCCAGCCTCGCTCTGCTCTCAGCTGATGTTTCGAGGCACCCTAAGGACCCGGTCCCACGGAGTATACCGGGAGGCCGCTCCAAAGATGTGAGCTCAGCGGGGAGCGCCTGTGGAGCGGGGCTGCGTGCACGCCGGGCTACCAAATAAAATAAGATGGAAAATATGTAGAGATACTGCAGTTAATCTTTAAACATTCAGAGTCACAACATTAACTTTAAACTGAGACACACACACACACACACACACACACACACACACACACACACACACACACACACACACACACACACACACACACACACACACACACACAAAGCAATTAACTCTGAGCGTGAGAGCATCCATCACTTCCTGAGCTGACGGCTCGATCACGACTCGTCCTGATGGATCAGTGAAGGAGAGAAATGAAGTCAGGAACTTTGTGCTGCTGAAGTTGAGAAACCATCCGAGTGAGAAAAGACGTCTCTGATGAAACTCTGCAAGCTTTCATGATGTGCTGCTGGATCCCCAACTTACAGGGTGAGTCTGTCAACTACTGCAGCCGGCGAGCTAAATGCTAACAGGCTAGCAAGCTAAGAACATGACGGGAAAACTTCAGGAGGACCCTGACGCGCCCCCCTCCACCCCAATCCCCCCCCCACCCCCCCCCCACCTTACAGCCTGGAGCTCCAGAAGCTCTGCCTCATTATGGATAATGAAGTTATCAGCACACACACACACACACACACACACACACACACACACACACACACACACACACACACAGATATTACCGTCGTCAGTCTCCACTTATTACATTAACAGTCTTCCTGTTTCATAAATGAATCGCTCTTTCAGTGATCGACCTTTTCTGCTGATTTGTTGCCGTATTTCTTCAATAAATGACAAACAATTAAAAAACATCACAAAGTGTTGGTTAGAGTCAGAGGAAGCTGTGTGTCAGGCAGCGACAGCGCGGTGTGTCAGGCAGCGACAGCGCGGTGTGTCAGGCAGCGACAGCGCGGTGTTTGAGCTGTGGTTACCCGCCGCTCGTCTCATTCATATTCATAATATCATTAAGTCATAAATGAGGAAATTACTGAGCCAGTAATTGGCTGAGTGAAACCACCCACCTGCCGTCATCTCCTCACTTCCTGCCTCTGACTGTCTTCTTTCAGACGCCTGATCTGTTCTTTAAACGACAGACAGTGGAAGAGGAACCACATTTAGCCGAGGTTTTACTTTCCAAACTCTTTAACTTCTCCTGTGATAAAAATCTAAATAACAAAGTCGTTGGATCGGGTCGTGGTTGTGTTTTTGATTTGTTCTGCAACAAAACGATGAAGCTCTGAAAGTAATCCTCATCATAACCATAACATCTGGAGAGGTGTGTGTGTGTGTGTGTGTGTGTGTGTGTGTGTGTGTGTTGATATTACTTTAAAGCCAAAGCAGCTTTAGTGTTGTTAAGACTGCAGCACTCATGAAATAACACGCACACACGCACGCACGCACACACACACACACACACACGCACACACACACACACACGCACACACACACGCACACACACACGCGCACGCACGCACGCACACACACGCACGCACGCGCACGCACACGCACACACACACACACACACACACACACACGCCTCAGGATGCCAACATTAGGAGCAGGCAGAAAAGCACTCTGGGAAAATAATAAAGTGAGAGCCGACCTCTGTGTGTGTGTTTGGGTGGTTAAGTAAAATACACACACAAAGTACTTATGTATCCAGCCCAGCTCCACCAGACGGACTCCATTAAACTAGAAATGGATTGAATGGTGTGTGTGTGTGTGTGTGTGTGTGTGTGTGTGTGTGTGTAAGCAATGAGTTATGGCTGACAGAAAGCCGAGGGAACATGATGAACGCAGAGTAATAAAACTGCAAACACACTCAGAGAACACAAAGAGAAAGTTATTTATCCTCTGAAGATGAAATGTTTTTATATCAGTGAAAAAGTCCAGCTCCAAAACAGAGCTGATAACACTCGTAATACAGTTTACATTCTGCTCCTGAATGCTCTGGATTTGTTTGGACCAGAGAAGGTAGGCGCTTTTAAGACACACCCCCACACGGCCGTTTTGGACACCCCTCTGTTTGTCAGATATGAGAGCAGTTATCAGGTCAACAGGTGTTGCAGCGATGGAAGCGGTCAAGAGAAGTGGTTCAGATAGAAGTGATTGTACCCGACCTAAAAAGCCTCTGCACACACACACACACACACACACACACACACACACACAGACACAGACACAGACACAGACACACCCACACCCACACCCACACCCACACCCACACACACACACACAGACACAGACACACACACACACACACACACACACACACACACACACACACACACACACACAGACACAGACACACACACACACACACACACACACACACACACACACACACACACACACACACACACACACACAGACACAGACACACACACACACACACACACACACTGCAAACCCTGACTGTCCATTTCTTCTTTCTTCCAGACATTTTCTCTCCTCTTGGCGCCACATTTTTTTTTTACACCAAATGAAATGAACTCCTGACCTCAATAAACCACATAAAGCTCAGCAAGTGTGTGTGTGTGTGTGTGTGTGTGTGTGTGTGTGTGTGTGTGTGTCTGTGTGTGTCCTCCACTAGAACATTATATAGATGTGACATGTTGATGCAGCTCGTCTGATCAGAATCGTCCTTTAATAATAATAATCACTTTATTTATAGGTTTTTAAAAAGTCTATTGAATTCTAAGTAAAACCTTAGAATAAATGATAAAAGGACTTGAGCTTGTATATTTTTTTTCTCATCTTCTGACTACTCAAAGCTCTTTTACACCGCAGGTCACACCTACACATTCACACCCTGATGGTGAAGCAGAGGGAGCAGCTTGTGGTTAAGTGTCTTGCCCAAGAACACATCGGACATGTAGCTGCAGGAGTTGGGGATTGAACCCCCAAACTTTCAGTTCAGAGATGACGACTCTGCCACTGAGCCACAGCCGCCCAAACAAAGAAGATAAACAGAAACACAAAATAACCACAAACAACTTCTCAAATCTAAATTAAATTAAATACATTCTACAAACGGCTTGCAGCACAAAATCCGCTTTTCTTTTTTTCAATGATTTGGGGAATGGGGCAACCGTGCTTATGTACGGTACAGGAGAACTTTGCCTGGTGTGAGTGCGCCCTTAGTGTGTGTGTGTGTGTGTGTGTGTGTGTGTGTGTGTGTGTGTGTGTGTGTGTGTGTGTGTGTGTGTGTGTGTGTGTGTTAATGTCATGTCAGTCATCTGGTCCACAGGCGCCCCATTAACTAATCGCCCCCTATAGACACAACGCCAATTAACTTCATCCGTCTGTTACCGAGCACCAACGGACAACGTCAATTAACTGTGTGTGTGTGTGTGTGTGTGTGTGTGTGTGTGTGTGTGTGTGTGTGTGTGTGTGTGTGTGTGTGTGTGTGTGTGAGTGTTCCTTTAGATATGTCTCAGTAAAAGGTCACAGAGGTTTTAACTCGAGACATATTTCTATCACGTCTGTTCGTCCTCCAATCAGATCATCGCTTTAAAGTCAAAATGTTCCAATCATCAAAAAGTGAAACCAAAACATTTAGAGGGGTTTCACATTGGGGACCCGGGCCCTGATCAGAGTACACATGACCCCAAAGTCCGGGTCATTTGATCAGTACTCGTGTACTGAGTCTGATTTCTGTTCTTTTTCAGGAGCAACAAAAACAGAGAGTGAGGAGACACTTAGGCTTTGACCTTTTGTTAACATGTTCAAGATGTTTTCAGTCTTACAAATTAAGCCTGCGGAGGGGGCGGAGCTTCAAAGGTCCCCCATGTGAAGCCCCCCCCCCCCCCCACCCTCATATCAGACCCCTCTCTCTCTCTCTCAGTTTGGACATTAAAGGATTTCTGAATGAAGCGTGACTTCTCTCTCTCTACACATCATCTCCGCTGCAGTTGCCACGGCAACCGAGGGGCACGGATGACGCGTTGTCTCTCCCCTCTATATTTACTCTGTTGCTGTAGCAACGACCCAGACGTGCACCAAAGACGAGGAAGATTAGGGGGAGGAAGACGTCCCACAAACACACACGTGGACTCACATCGACTCTGTTGCTGCCGGGAAATTTCTCATCAAATTTCCGGACGGTCTGCTCCTGAAATCTTCCTGAGCAGCTTCTACACACGTGTCCATCACAGGGTGAAGTTTCCACTGTCACAGGGGGGGGAGGGGGCGGAGTCTAAGATGATGGTTTATGACTTCATATCAATGCTACGTGTCATCAGAAACATCATTCTCCTGATTATATCCTGCTGTGTTCTCACATCAGCTCACTCTGAGCCTCTGAATAAACACGAGGAGAAACGCTCAGATGTTTGTGATCACATGACGCTCAGATGTTTGTGATCACATGACGCTCAGATGTTTGTGATCACATGACGCTCAGATGTTTGTGATCACATGACGCTCAGATGTTTGTGATCACATGACGCTCAGACTGAAAACACTTCAGAGAGTGTGAACACGACTTCGTTGATCATGTAGCTAAACTTATTTCACTTAAACTGGAGCATCAACCCGTGAAGCTGAACCGCTAAAATATCAAAAGTCCTTCACTAGAACTCAAACCAGACAAACAGACACACACACACACACACACACAGATACACACACACACACACACACACACACACAGATCACACACACACACACACACACACACACACACACACACACACACACACACACACACACACACACACACACACACACACACACACACACACAGATACACACACACACACACACACACACACACACACACACACACACGCACACACGCACGCACGCACGCACGCACGCACGCACGCACGCACGCACGCACGCACGCACGCACGCACGCACGCACGCACGCACGCACGCACGCACGCACGCACACACACACACACACACACACACACACACACACACACACACACACACACACAGAAAATAAATAAACAACGTGCTGACGTTCATCGTGAAAAACATTGAATTCATAAGATCGATGCTGCGCTGACATGTTATCTTTGTGTGTTTCCACAATCAGCTTTATAAACTCTGACTTATCTCATCGTCCTCAGGAAACCATTTAAGAAGTTTAACAACATTTCTATATTTCCTCAGGCGAGATGTAAACACGCAGATATTAATAACAAATGTTTGTTGTTGTTGTTGTTGTTGTAGTGCCATTCAGCTGCCACTAAGTGTCACTTAAGAGCCACATCCTGCTGATACCACGTGCGAGTTGAGCGTGTTTTGGTACCTTTGGGTTGAGGACCAGCTGCTGCTCGTCAAAGTGCAGCAGAGCGACAGAGTTGGACTCCGAGTTGTTGACAAAGATCTGCAGGCAGGGATAGAGAGACGTCCCCTTACAGTCCGTCCCGCACGTGAACACGCACTCGAACATCTCCTCGGGGCGCAACACCGACACCACCTGCAGAGAGAAAATACATGGTTCCTTCAAAATAAAAGAAAGACTTCTTCTAAAGTGAAGCTGGCTGGTTCCTTCAAAATAAAAGAAAGACTTCTCCTTCAAAATAAAATACATCTTCTCCTAAAGTGAAGCTGCTCCATTGTCCCTTCTGGGCCTCCGTACATGTGTGGTGGTGACTGTGTCTGCAGAGACTCTGTCCTCTCACTGGATTTTACTGTTCTGATTTGTGACGGTTGACTCGGGACGTTTGTGGGCGGAGCTGGTGTGTTTCCTCCAATGACAGCGCAGCAGGTGAGTTTAGGAGTGGATACAATTCAGTGATTGGACGAGATTCAAACAGACGCAGACGTAGCAGCAAAGAAGAGAAAATATAATGAGAGTGAGGAGAAACACCAAGTGGATAAAGATCGTTCTAAAACGAGGGTGAACCTTGTGTTGTCTTTTACCCGTGGACGTGGAGTTGATCTACTTCCTGTTGGACAGGAAGGTGACAAACACGGGCGGTTAGCTTGTGCTAGTGTGTGTTAGCTTCCAGTATAGCTACAAGCAGTAAACGTACACACTACATCCTGCAGTGGGCGGGGCTTCTGGGGGTGATGAGCCCAGGAGGAGGAGGGGCCTAGTTTAAATGTTGTGTTGTGTCGTTTGCACTCTAGGACCTTTTTCAAATCTTGACATTTTCAGGCCCCCAAAACGCTGTTGTCGTGTAAACGAAAAGCCAGAACGTTTTCAGCCTATAATGTTGGCAACCAGTCATTTTACAGTTTCTCTTCTTCATGTCACATTTGTTTGAGTCATTAAATGTTGATATTGTGAATCCATCCTTCGTTTTCCCTGCTCATTAAAGGACGGAGCTGCAGGCGTGAACATAAACATGATGGAGTGAGATATGTCTTCATCAGTCAGGAGGTCACACAGTCTGATGTGAACCTGTGGGTCAGTGAACGACTGAGCGCGCTCTCACACCGCCTCGTGAGCTCCGATGATTTAGGAACACAAGCAGACGGCGTCCACTCTCTGTAATGCGCAGACATTATTCCAGGACGATGCAATAAGCTAACAGCAGAAATAAATCAAGCTGGGAAGAATTCATCAGCGATGCTAAAGAGCGTTGCCAGGAGGGGCCGGCTGCATGGCGGCCTGTGATTCATGTCATGAAAGTCGGCTGTGCCAACGCTTTGAATAACCACAGAGGAAAGAGACGCAGACTGAAGGAAGCGAGCGTGCTGCAGGCTGACGAACCTGCTCTGTAACGACGACCAGGAAGATTTGGTTAAAAAAAAAAAAAAAAAAAGGCCATAAAATAAAGAGGCTTTTTAACTTTCTGTCAGTCCTGAAGTGACGTCATGAGAAGTCTGCTTTGACCCGGCCATCGTTTATATTTGATCATAAAAGGAAACAGAGCTGTATGAGAGGGTAGTGGGGGATTCTCTCACTTAAACATCTGACTTAAGGTTTCTGTCACTTTAAAAGCTTTTAATGAAACTGCAGTTTAGATCTCATCCGCAGTGGTCGACTTCCTTTTGCTGTTTTTCCCCCCTCCGGGCTCTCACACAGGAGATAGCTGATTGGATTGTTTAGATTTTTCCATCTGAGGAGTCTGAACATCAGAACCTGATGAATCGCTAAATACAATCACGGACGTGTGCATCGATTCAGATGCTCGTAGAATCATCCTGTGATCCTAAATCTGCAGATTATGAAACTGAACACGAGACCCTCTGACTCAACACTCTCACAGAACCCTGAGAGGTGCTAACGAGGCTCCTCGTTTACTTTAATTAGAGGTTAGTACAGTAAGTGTCGTTAGAAAGAAAAATAACAGAATGTCACTTTAAAACACTTCTAATGTGAAAAGAAAAAAGGAGGCCTGAGTCATCTGGTGTTTCTCGTGTGTAACCTAAAGTTTCTTCACTCGATCAAAACAATCAGCTGGAGATCATCAACCAAGAGAGGGACTCTGACAGGGAACCTACTATTTCATCTTTTGATGCTCACTGACAAAGCTGCTGTATTTCACATGCTGTTAATATGAATGTTTGAGGTCTGAGTGTCGTCCCCCGTCTGTTCCTGCAGGGGGCGCTGGAGTCCCATCGATGGCGGTCTCCATGCTGGAAATGCTGTCTCAGTCTAACTTTCAGTCAACCTAACGACAGGCTGAGAGCTGGAGCTGAGGCGGGTTTTAAACCTCCTGACAAACCGTTACACCGCGCCCACCTGTCAATCAGGTCAGCTACACACCTTATTGTGAATAACTCTTATCCTTCATCAAATCAAAACTGATGAGTCATCAAAACATTCACCCCCCGTACAGTGTGTGTCCATCCAGACATGAGCTAATCACACCTATTTGGTTTTTTGAACCAGGCTGTAAACATGTTCATCTCTGCTGTAAAAACAGGTTTTTTAGAATGGGTGTGTATGTGACTTCCTGTGCTTCTGCAGCCAGCCTCTACTGGACACTCCAGGAACTGCAGGATTTTACACTTCAGCATCTGCCCCAGTTATAGCTGCTGCTTGGCTGGGTGCCACAAACTGCCTCAACAGCAAGTTCACAAAAGTCAGTACATCCTCTGGAGACGATGAACAACTAACCACACATTCCTCTGCCCTGACCTCCTCCGACAGTTTCCATAAATCAGCAGGAATATAAATGGATGACTCTAAAGATGATGAAAAAAAAGGAAAGTACAGCCACGTGTAGTTTCTCTGACAGTTCGTCGGGTGATTGATGGCTGAGTGCGAGCAGGCCCGTCAGATCAAACAGCGTGATCACCTTCGTCGTCTGTCAGTCACTGATACGACTGATCGTGTGTCACTGATTGGTTCATTCATCACCTCATTCTGCACAGGAGGCTGCAGGAGATTAACACACGTTATCACACGTTCTCATCGGGTTTCTGCCGCCGCTCAGTGCAACGCCATAACTTTGAATCCTCTTGCTTTGATACTTAATTTACCGTAATTTCATAAATTTTCCACTTATCTCAGTTTCTTTGCATTTAACCCTCACACGCCTTACATGTTATTGTAGACTTCATGTTTTGGTATTTCACTTATATTTAATGCAGATATCTAATTTTTATAATGTAAATTAGGTGCTATAATTTCCTCTATAAAAAATACAGGAAGTAGCCAGTGGGCAACACTAATACAAATACCCCAACTAAGATTAAAAATGAAAAGTAGGTTATTCTGATGTAGACTACATCTTTTAGATCTTAAGAAACTTTATTTTTTATTTAAGTATTACTTCACTCAATGTAAAAAATACTTGGGATAAATTAACTACGACCAGTAACCACCGGACTACTACAGGCTCAACCTTTGGGTCCTGACCCCAAATGGGATCCCCTCAAATTTCTAATAATTGATCAGAATAAAAATGAAAAAGCTTTTTGTCTTTTGGATTTCTGGCCAAGAGTTTTGTGAGGTCAAAGTTTGGTCACAAACCAAAAACGGTTAGGCTACTGAGCAACTACAAAGAAACACATTTACACCGTGCACAAGTCCAAAGCAGATTTCCCCAGCAGGCGATAATATCGTAACTTAACATATCGTAACTTAACATATCGTAACTTAACGTGTCATGTATCGCATCGTAAGGTAATGTAACGTCATATCAAGGAACAAATCCTACTTATTTTTAAACTACCTTTTGCTCTTAATGACACACATAACATGTCTGTAGGTCTAATCTAAGTTGGACACAAATGGCAACGCTTGGAAAAATACTCGTAACCATGGTGATAAAAAATAGTCGAATATTCAAAACACAAACGTAAATTTCCATAAAAAGTTAAACGACCGTTAACGGTAAAAGTGCTCAACATAAAGATAAAAGTGGAGTATTTAGCTTCTGTTCCAACTTCTTCTAAAACAGTACTACATTTATAAACTCGTACTTTAACACCAACAAACTGCCACACTTTATAAACTACAACCGGCAACACAAAGTACCGACTACAGCTCCGGGGCTCCGGCAGACACCGGGAGCTCCTCGGATGTCGTGACCGGGCTCACCGTGCAGTTGGCCGGCTTGCTCTGCAGACTCTGCAGGGTCGGGCTGAGCCAGCAGAAGCCGAGGATGAAGAGGCTGAGGATCCCGCAGGCGATCAGGAACAAGCCCAGCCGGATGCTCTTGTCCTCGGCCTCGGAGTACTCGTACGACACCCGGATCTTCGCCATGGCAGCCCCGCGGAGACCGAGATCTCCGCCGGCATGGAGAGGAGCACCGGAGCGGAGGAGGCGGAGGATGGATGGTGGGAAGATGATGAAGGAGGAGGAGGAGGAGGAGGAGGCGGTGTTTGCTGCTGTTGCTGCTGCCGAGGAAGAACTGTTGTGTTTAAACACCGGCTGCTTTCTGTCTCTAAATCTGTTTCATCTCCCTCCGGCTTCATGTATCCTCCCCCTCATCTTCCTCCCTCCTCCCTCCTCTACCTCTCTCTATTTCATACTCTACTACTCACTCTATTTATCCCGTTTCACCTCCTCATTTCTCATTTGGACATTTTAATTATCTTTCTCCAGAGCTGCAAGAAGTCAACTCAAACTTAGAAAGTCTGTGTAGGCTAATACTTTCTGTCTTTTTAAACTTGGCATAAAACTTCAAATCAAAGCCCATCCATATTTAAAGTCCAGTCCCTTCATCACTAGCCTGGTGTTCAAGTTCGTTTTTGACATTTAAAAGCAGGTTTCTATCAGAGCCCTTATGCATTCAGTGTTGAAATAGTTTGCGGGTCACAAATATGAAGAAAAAGTAACAAGACAAAAATAAAGATTTAAAACATCCATCCAAGAAAGACAGAAAAGTGCTACGATAGTTAGCATGCAAAGATAAATACGCAATCAGACCGCTCTTAGCCCCCTGCTGGTCATTTTAAAGAATGCAGGTTAATTCTGCAGGCCAGGTGGTGCAGCCTGCAGCTCTCTCTCTGTTTTCTCTCTTTAACTCTCTCTCTCTGTCTCTGTTTTAACTCTCTCTCTCTCTCCCTCTCTCTCTCTGTCTCTGTTTAACTCTCTCTCTGTCCCTCTCTCTCTGTCCCTCTCTCTCTCTCTCTCTCTCTGTCTCTCTCTCTCTCTGTCTCTCTCTCTCTCTCTCTGTCTCTCTCTCTGTCTCCCTCTCTCTCTCTCTCCCTCTCTCTCTGTCTCTCTGTCTCTCTCTGTCTCTCTGTCTCTCTCTCTCTCTCTCTCTCTCTCTCTCTGCAGGTTGAGTGATGCTCGCTCGCCCTGCCGGCCTCATGTCTCCGTCCAGATTTGTGTTTCATTTCAGCCGGTTTGTTCTCCGACTGTTCCACGCCACATGAGGTAATCCTCTTAACTCACGCCGTCATTGACTTCCTCTGACTCTCTGCACAAATATCTGAAAAAGCCGCCACAGGCTACATAACCGGGCTCGCTGATGAAATAACTCTCAATTATCTCCATTAACGAGCCCTCCATCCTCACAGCTGGACGCCATTAGCACGCGTTTTTGGAAGATGAGGCTCACATAGTCCTGCTTTTGAAGTGCGTGTACGGGTAGACAACCTGCTGTCAGTACCTGTGGTCACTTCCTGTCAGCACCTGTGGTCACTTCCTGTCAGCACCTGTGGTCACTTCCTGTCAGCACCTGTGGTCACTTCCTGTCAGTACCTGTGGTCACTTCCTGTCAGCACCTGTGGTCACTTCCTGTCAGCACCTCTGCTCTGGTCACTTCCTGTCAGCACCTGTGGTCACTTCCTGTCAGCACTCTGGTCACTTCCTGTCAGCACCTGTGGTCACTTCCTGTCAGCCTCTGGTCACTTCCTGTCAGTACCTCTGGTCACTTCCTGTCAGTACTCTGGTCACTTCCTGTCAGTACTTCTGGTCACTTCCTGTCAGTTCCTCTGGTCACTTCCTGTCAGTACTCTGGTCACTTCCTGTCAGTTGCCTCTGGTCACTTCCTGTCAGTACTCTGGTCACTTCCTGTCAGTTCCTCTGGTCACTTCCTGTCAGTACCTCTGGTCACTTCCTGTCAGTACCTCTGGTCACTTCCTGTCAGTTCCTCTGGTCACTTCCTGTCAGCACCTCTGGTCACTTCCTGTCAGTACCTCTGGTCACTTCCTGTCAGTACCTCTGGTCACTTCCTGTCAGTACCTCTGGTCACTTCCTGTCAGTACCTCTGGTCACTTCCTGTCAGTACCTCTGGTCACTTAAAGCTGTTTGTTTGCACTTCCTGTTGTTGGCGTCTGATGAATGAAAAGTAGAAATGCAGCATGTTATTGTTTTTATTATTTATCTTTCTATTATCCTCTTCATCGTCTGTAACCTTGTCTACAGTTTATCGTCTTTAATGTTCTTCATTGCCTTCTGTTTATGGATCGATAGTTTGTGTGTGTGTGTGTGTGTGTGTGTGTGTGTGTGTGTGTGTGTGTGTGTCGTCTGGAAAATGGCCCCCGAGGACTAAATGATCAATGAGCTGACTGAGCTGTATCGATCTCTCTCCTGCTCGACCTGCAGTGAAGAATCAGTGAAAAACACACACCTGTTGATGAGCCACACACACACACACACACACACACACACACACACACACACACACACACACACACGTCAGTATATAATTAAGCCAGCACTTCAACATAGCATGTTTCCTTAATGTCTGATCAGATAGTAAGATACCTTTATCATCTCACTGATTGGACCTTTAAGGCTGGCTGCACACTAGAAGATTAAAGAACCAATTTCAGGGCCCGATATGACCCCCTCCTCTCCAAAAGATTGGGGGGGGGGCGTGGCCCACTTCGATGCTTGTTGCACACGATTATTAGTCTAATAATCCTCAAGTGTTCGGTCTCAATATGATTATTTCAATACTACCAAAAATACGCAGGTTGGGCTGCTTCCAGCAGACTGAGTCCTGTTCTTAAATCAGATGGTCAATTAGGTAAATGAATAAAGAACAAATATAAACCTTTTAAAATCACTAAGCCTGGAGGGTAGAGCGCTCTCTCTCTCTCTCTGTGCTGCAGCTCGTCGCAGCCTGTTGCATAAATGTAAAGCGCTGAGAGGCTGCAGAATAAAGCCTCAGCATTATGCATTGGTAATCAGGGAGGCATGTGGCAGGATTATTATCATCTCTGCAGATCAAAAGATTACAAATAATAACGGACATCAGCGTGGACGAACACCGAGGCCACATGTCCCCGCAGAGCGCTCGCACAGAAAACAAGGCAAACAGAGAATTATCACCAAACTGCACGCAGAAAATCAAGCACGATGAGGAAATGTGAGATGTTTCTGCTGATGCATTGGTCATGTTTGATAGCATGCTGCTTCAACAGTTGGTTTCCTCTCTGAGAGGGGGTTTTGTTTTTGTTTTTATGGAAATAAAAGGAAAAAGATCATAAAGAGGGCGTTGTCGGCCTCAGAGCAGCACTCGTGCGATGCGATTATGCAGCTCAATATTTGCTCCTGCTGTCCCAGAATAACAGAAGCGGTGCTGGAGCTGCAGAGGCAACATTTGGCTCAACAATCCCAGCATCAACAGAGAGAGGACTACAGCCTGGAATATCCCTCATTATGGAGGCGAGGGCAGATGGAGCTGATGGACAAAAAGCATCAGAGTGAATGTGCAGCCTCTCTGTGTTTCAGTCTGAAGGTTTAAGGCTACACATTATTTCTTCACTCAAACAAGCAGCTGCTGTCTTGTTGTTGAAATGCTGTTGACATATTTTGAGATCACAGAACATGTAAGAAGCTTTTAAACATAAAGTTACACAACTTCTTCTGAATAGTTTCTGTCTTTCTAAAGATTTTAGTTTCTATCATCTGAATCAAGTGTTTCACATCTTTTGTCTAAAGGTCACATATCCTCCTCCTCCTCTTCAGTGTAAATAAGTCTCAGAGCTCCTCAAAACATGTGTGTGAAGTTTCTTGTTCTAAATCCACTCTGATCCTGTATTTGATCATGTCTATAAACCCCTCTATTTCAGCCCTGCTCAGAACAGGCTGTTTCTGTGTCTGTACCTTTAAATATGTAAATGAGCTGTGTCTGACCACGCCCCCTCTCTGGAAGGGCTTGGGTGTACTCGGTCTTTCTTGCTCCATGTCCTATTGTTTACGGTGAGAAGGCAGACTCAGAGGGCAGAACAAACACCTAGCTGTGGGAGTGTCACCCACCTGGGGGAGGGGCTACTGCCCTTTGTGATGTCATGAAGGGAAAATCTCCAAACGGCCTGTTTGAGCACACATTTTCTGAAAAGTGGAGCAGGCAGAAGATGGAGAAGATGGACTTTTCTCATCATTGGGGGGTTTGGAGACAGACTAGAGACACATGTTAGAGTTAGAGGAACATGGAGAAGAGGATTTTACAGAATATGTGACCTTTGAGTACATTATTAGCATATATCGCACGATTTTTCAGTAATCATGAAATGGAACTGTTCATGTTGAATTAATGTAGGGGAATTTTCAGCTTCAAAAAACATTTTTTTTGTGTCATTTATTAATTGAACATATTTATGTTTGGGATTGTTGATTGTTAATATAAGACAAGTGATGTCATTGTTGACAAATGTTTTAATGTCTTCTTTTTACATTTGATGGAGCTGACAGGTCGGTGATTCAGACTTTCTCACGGCTGTACCTTTGCTTGCATTGTGTTTTATTGATATGTATGTGTGTTAATATGCAGAGTTTGTCTTACAATCCTTCTTGCATGTCGTTTAGTTAGTCTTTTCTGAACAACAGTTATGTAACAGAGAGCTCGTCTAAAATAAAGTGTAACAAAGAGTGTGAGAGTGAGTGGGCGAAGGTGCAAAAATGAAACAGAATCTTCTTTTTATTTATTTTTTATTTGTCTCCGGCTCCTCTCACAGCTATAAAAGTTTGTTAGTTTTATATCTCACTTTTTGTTTTTATTTGTTTTTAAATGCTGATTTGTTAAAGTGATGTCAAAATGTTTGATAATATTTTCCATGGAGCTCAACACTTAAATTGAAGATTTGCATATTTCTCTTTTTCTGAGTTTGTTTGAGAAGCAAAATCAGCTCCGGTTCTTTTCCTCCGCTGAGCTGTGCAGCAGATTTTTATCACCACATAAAATCTTTATAGCTCTCACCTGAAAGCTGTACTGTGTTGGTATATTTGTTTACAGTGTGTGTGTGCGTGTGTGTGTGTGTGTGTGTGTGTGTGTGTGTACCTCTGGGCTCCTCTTTCTGCAGGTTTGTGTCTCCATTAAACTCTCGTTCCTTCCCTCTGTCTTCTCACTCAGCTGTAAAGGAACATGAATAAAATAATAAAATAAAATGTAACTGTATCTGCTTCATTAAACTCAACATAAATAACTTGTGTAGCTCTGACTTCCTGCAGGAATGCTCTCACCTGATTATTTGACGGTTAAATTGGAAAGCATCAGATTTCTTT